CAGACATACCAGGTCCAGACCACTCTCAACCTTAACCTCAGTGCAGTGCAGCAGCCTTGCCCGCTTCACCTTCTGTGCACCTATTGGTTTTATTTGCTTTCTTAATTTAATGGGTGCCAAGGTGACATCATCCCCTCTTTTTTTATTGTTGAGTGTATGTCTATTCAGTTCTGTAAGTTCTTTATTGTTGTGTTCACATTAAGTTTCCTAACAGCGTACCTTGAAGAACGGGCAAAAATTTTTCAAGGTGCACCGGTAACGTCATGTCTCAAAGCATTTTTTATTCCTGTCTATCACACACTGCTTGAAGTCATCTGTGGCTGCCTCCCAACTTAGCTGCTAGCTGTTAGCATAGCCTACGCCGCTGTGAAAGTAGCTAATGTCCTGATTTGTGGTGATGGTTGTGTGTCTTCTTCAGTTTTTGCAGCTTGTGTCTCTGCTGGAGTGACGTGTCTGTCAGTTAGAGCAGTTTGCTGCAGGTAGTCTGTCTTCAGAGAGATGTTGCTGTATTCTAGATAGCATTAGCAACAGGCTAAGAGCCACAGCAAACCTCTCAGTGAGAACAGTGATAGAAATTGGTTTTACTTTTTTTTACTGTTTTTTTTTTTTTTATTGTTTACAGACAGCATTTGCGCAGTGAAGCAGCTCTGGTGAATTCAAGGAGCTGTGTTTGGAAGATGAGGTAGCAGATGTTGAAGTTGTAATTAACACTGCAGTCTTACACAACCATGCTCAGTTTGCCCGTAAAGCGGAAAATGCCTGAATAAGTCACTTCTTTGTGTCAGTACAACTTATTTGCTGACGGTGCTAGGCTAAGGCTAACACTGAGAGGTTTGCTGTGGCTCTTAGCCTGTTGCTAATGCTATCTACAAGGTGTTTATAAATAGCAAAAGTTCCAGGACTGGTGTCACAAAAGATAGATTTCATACCCAAACTACAAACTACCAGCTTTCCCCTTCAGACGATCAACCAGCACGTCAACAAGGAGATTCTGCGGCGTTTGTTTTATTCAGTGCGCGAGAAAAGGCCAGAGTTGTGGCAGGACAAGTCGTGGCTGCTTCACCATGACAACACACCTGCTCACGATGCCCTGAGCATCCCACAGTTCCTGGCTGAGAAGAACATCTCCGTGCTGGAGCAACCTCCCTACTCACCCCACCTGGCTCCATGGGAGTTTTTCCTCTTCCCCAAGCTCAAGGGGGTCATCAAGGGGACCCGTTTTGAAGACGTGGACGACATCAAGATGGCTGTGACGACGGAGCTGCAGAGGATCCTGGAAGAATCCTTCCAGGAGTGGCAGAGAATGCTGGGAAAGTGTGTTAGACTCCAGGGGGATTACTTTGAAGGGGAAAACTTGTAGTTTGTAGTTTGGGTTTAAGATATTTATTTTGTGACACCAGTCCTGGAACTTTTCTGACACACCTTGTAGAGTACAGCAACGTCTTTCTAAAGAAAGAATAACTGTACTGCACTCTGCTCTCACTAACAGACACGTCTCTCTAGCAGAGACACAAGCTGCAAAAACTGAACAAGAAGCACAACCATCCCCACAAATCAGGACATTAGCTACTTTCACAGTGACTTAGGCTACACTGACGGCTAGCAGCTAAATTGGGAGGCAGTCACAGATGACTTCAAGCAGGGTGTGATAGACAGAAATAAAAAGTGCTTTGAGACACGACCTTACCGGACAATAAAAGTGATAGAGTAATGGAAGACAAACAAAACAGAGAAGAAGAGCAGACAGAACTGCAGGAGACAAAATGTTCAATGACAATAAATCAATCTCACAGTAAACAGGAGAGCAGCCTACGTATCACTTTGACGTCATTGCACCTTTTTCTATTGTACATATGCAGTCATAGTACAGAAATCCTTATTAGTGAAGTACGCTACTTATAAATGACAGGATCCCTGCAACCATGTGGTGTTAATATATAACATTTAATGTATCTCGACCCCAAATGTTAGTTATCAGTCTTTCTTGATTATCAATAATTGATATTGGTATCAGCCAAGAAAAAAGCCTATCAGCCGATCCCCAGTCTGACCTCAGCATTAAGCACCTGAGATTCTTGTCCATCATGCCACACTGTCAGTGAGGCGTCTGATTGGTCCCAAACTCATTCTGCAGCAGCACAATGAACCCAAACATCCAGCCAGAGCCATGAAGAACTATGTTCAGGCCCAGGAAGAACAAGGAGTCCTGCAGCAGATGGTCTGACACCATGAAGAGACAGAAGACACAGAGGCAGCCTAAATCCCAAAAAGAAGAACTGTGGCACATTGTCCAAACAAACTACGTGCCGAGGAGTTTAAAAAACGGTCTACAAGTGCATAGGCTATTTTTCATGGGTTTCAATGAGTTAATTAACAAATAGAAATGATTCATGCCATTATGTTTGAAAGCATCCTCAGTGTTGTCATTAATGTGGGTTGTCTGGTAATCCAGGTATGTGTTAATATGTAAACGGGGTATAATGTTGGTCTGTGCCACAGCATGATCGGTCACCATTTTTTTCTCTTTGATGTTGTAGCAAGACTATTCAAATTCCACACCTGACTGTGCCTGTAGAGTCTGAGCAGTAGCAAGACTCAATACAAGATTTTCAATTATCCTGTTTACCATTTAATCTGCAAGAAAATGGGATTTTTCTGCTGCTCCTCAGCCCACAATTTTGAGAGAACAAAAAAAAAGGCTACAATTGAGTGAAGAAGAAAAGAGTGAAAACGTTCTGTCTGCGACAAACGCATAAAGATTAGGCTCATTAAAGTGTAAGGTTAACTGAGGAAATACTGCACAATGCATATCATTTCACACCGCCTGTCACTGAGTACGCAGTGATACAGAATATACTGCCACTGTGTTCTACTCTCACAGTACTACAGATTTAGGTTAAATCCAAACAAAGAAAACCCGAACCGGCCACTACTACTACGATTACTACTACGACTACTACTCCACTTCATGCTAATACCATCGTTATTAATAATAATGATCATTTTAAATGCTGAAAGGAGTGCACACAGTCGAGCCTACAGGAAGGCTGTTCACAGTCTGGGGGCGTATGAACTAAATGCAGCATGACTGTCGGCTTCAGTCCAAGGGAGAGGAACAATTACTGTGATAGAGTCAGAGGAACACAGTGATCTGTCAGGGGCAGACTAAAACCAAAACCTGTGGCCATTAATGTCTTACCACTGATGATTAAATGGACATCGAGTCTACAGTGCATTAGTGCGGCATGAGATTTGGACTCGCTCCACTGTTCTCTGTCAAGGTGTTTTGACTGATGCATGACACATGAGTGATATTTAGGTGCTCGAGATATTTGCACGTATTGGGACAAGCTGTACAAATCTTTGCACAAAACTGTCGTATGCACGAGGAATCACAATAACCAGTGGAGACTGCAGAGTCACTGGCTGCAAAAACAACTGGGTACACAGGGATGAGGTGAATACAGATTTTCAGCATCACTGCTATCAAACTGCACAGCTTTCTTGATAGCAGGATTACAGCCTGTCTGGCTCGCTGTTATGCGGCACATCAACAGCCTTCTTCAGTGTGAATCCAGAATGATAACTTAATATGTATTTGCATCATTAGCTTTTCCTGACTGTGTGATTGATCGCTCCACCTGACTGCAGCTACAGCTAGATGTGTCTGAGAAAGAGCTGCCAAATGTCTGACTGACATCTGTCAGCAGCAGAAACCCACTCTGAGCTGTTCACACTTACAAACCAGCCCTACAGCAGAAACAGCCTGGCTGAGCAGGAGCACTGATTCACCAGCTACACTGTAAAACGAAACGTTTTCTGACTAGTTTCAGACTGCAACTTTCTGGACAATTTACTGTTATTTCACAGTGTCCCTGTCTTGTTAAATTACACATAATAGCTGGTGAAATCACAGAAGAAAACTATGAATTTACATGTCACTGTATAAAAACAGGCCAAAACTGTAAATGCCACCCAAAAAAAAAAAAATCATTAATATTTCCCCTTTTCCAGTATGGGACTGTAAATTTACTCCGTTTGTGCTGTTTGAATTAGCTAAGAAATATAATTATTGTACAGATATTTAGTGTTATTAAAAGAAAAAATATGTATATTAAGGACTAAAAAAATGTATTTTTTTAAGTGTCATTTGACAGATTTGCCTTGTTTTATTTAAAAACAGATATCTACTAAAGTTATAGATTTTTTTTTTGTATTTGTTGACTATTAAAAAAAATAGGCCAAAACTGTACATTTTTACATTTACAGTGTGTATTTGAAAGAACAATTGTTATTATTATGATTATTATGATTATTATTATTATCAGTTAATAATGATTAAAAAATGGCAAAACATTTCTTAAATGTTATGTTGACTGTAAAAAAAAAAAAAAAAAAAAAGACACCAGAACTGTACATAATGTTGATATCAACGATCAGTATTTTTAAAAATAGTCATTTGTTGTTTGACAGTGTCAGGCTGCAGAATGCTATTTTACTATTTTTTTCCCTGTTTTGCAGAATAACAGATAACCAGTAAAATCCCAGTAAAAACTGTATTAATGTACTTGTTAACCATCATAAAAACAATGTAAATAACATCTACTTTTTAAAAAATCTAGGTTTTTACACATGGTAATTCCTTCTTTTACAGTGTGTGACTGTAAAATTGCACCATTTCTTTTATATTTGCTGCAATTTTATACATTTTTTTGCTTTCAGTGCAGTTTTTAGACTTTACAGTATTCCACAGTTTTTATTTTCAAAATTTAAAAATAAAATCAAAATTTATTAAATTTCCACTGTTTTTTTTCTGTAATTTTTTTTAACGGATTTATTTTTATTTATTTTTTTACTTTTTTACAGTGTACAAGGACAGTTGGACATTGTAAACTGATAGACAGATTGATAGAAAGATAAATAGCTGGATTGATTGATTGATTGATTGATTGATTGATGGATTGATTGATTGACTGATTGATTGACTGAGTGGTATTCACCTCTACAAAGTAAAAGCACGGCAGCAGAGTGACGCTGTCCTTGGTCTCCTTCCCGCCTTTCAGCCGCTCCTTGGCACGAGACATCACGAGCGGCCGGTGGTCTCCCCCGGTACCGGGAGACAGGGAGCTGTATCTGATTCCCGTCGTAATTTTGGCGAAATTCCGGCCGAGCCCTCGGTCTCTGCCCACTAACGGTGGTCCTCCATCGCCCGGCGAGGTGAGCTGGAGGTGTCGGTGCCCGCTAACAAGAATTCGTCCGCTGTCGCCCCTAAACTGCGGTTTGCGGGCTTCAAAAAACGGTGCCAGCGGCGGACTGCGGCCGCTGTCTGCTCCGAAGCTGTCCGCCCTGTGAGCTCACGTCGGCCTTCATCCTGGGAGCGTGTCCGGTGTGTGGAGAGCAGAGCGGTCCTCCAGTCAGTGTCCCCTCAGCAGCCCCGGGCACCTCGGCTCATCTCACCCACTCACTGCCTCACTCAGCTCGGCTCCGCTGCAGCAGGTGACCGCGGTAAGCTGGCAGCAGCCACCAACGACTACCGGCAGGATTTTCAAAATAAACGCCGTTCAAGCACTTTTGAAATATTATACAATTAAGTCATATTTTCAAGCAAAAGTTCTACTTGAAGATGTAAAAGTTTGAAAATGTATGCTGAAAATCAGTTTTATGATGCCCTGCGATTATTCTAAACTTGAAGTTGTAAAGTTTTAGTTTTAATTTTTATGTTATATCGTATTTATACTATTTTATACTTTTTAAAAAATGACACCATTTGGCAGGATTTACAAAATAAACGCCCTTTACGCTACATCACAGCACTTTTTACATAATATACTATCAATTTTATGTTATGCTGTACTATCATATTACACTATAATAAATTATTTTCAAACAGTAGTTCCACTTGAAATTTTTAAATTTGAAAATAGATGATGAAAATCTATTTGATCACGCTTTGTGATTATTGTAAACTTGAAGGTGCAAAGTTTTAATTTTAATTGTTATTGTTATTCTGTATTTATACATTTTTATACTTAAAAAACAATCTACTTGCAACATTTGTTGTTTTTTCTTGTACCTTCACTTTGTGCTTCTTCCAACATTAATTGCACCCTATTTTTCTTACGTGTAATATGTGTGCATTACTGGATAACTTGAATTTACTTAAATAAAGTATCTATCTATCTATCTATCTATCTATCTATCTATCTATCTATCTATCTATCTATCTATCTATCTATCTATCTATCTATCTGTTAAGAATATAAAGACGTTTACCTCTACCGTTCCAACTACGATTTAGCCTCCTATCCTTACAAGTCAGTAAGAGTTTAACCTAAGTGCCGCCTCACATGTAACTAGCAAATAGTCATCTAGCTCAAATTCTACACAACCATGCCATGGGAGCCTACATGTATACAGTTGGTCATATAGAAAATGCATAAATATGTTTTTATGTTTGGTCCTGATTTGCTGCCAAGTCCTTTTTTTTCACAATGCTGGTGTTGCAGCAAATTGTACACAGATTAGAACATTAATTAGTCCATTGGTATTTATCGCAGAGATTATTCAATCAGTACAATTAATTTCACTTTGATTTGGCCAAAAAGTAAAGTAATATCCTTCATTATGGGACCGTGTCAGATCTGAATGCATTTCTAATGTGCAGCTGTCAAATAAGCGACAGCATTGATTTGTAAAATAAATATATCACCTCACATGATGACTAGTTTTCTACCAGCATTCCCTTTTTTGCAGTAGCAGCGCTTTTAACTACCATCAAATTTTAGGTCCTTCACAGCCCTCCATAAACAAGGTCCAAAAACATGTTGAGGGTAACTGGTGATTTTAAATGGTGTGAATGTGAGTGAGCTAGGTCGTCTGTCTCAGCTGGGATAGGCTCCAGCCCCCCACGACCCTCGTGAGGATTAAGCGGTGTATAGGTAATGGATGGATGGACAACCCTCCATTATAACAATTTGTTCTTTTGATTGAAGTAGGCAGCACATGATTGGTTGATTTCGTGCAGAAGAAGAATCACATCATGCACACTTTTATGCCAGCACAAAGGCTACAGAAGGAAGTTAACAAAGAAAGTTGATAACCACCGTTGTGATACCTGTGACCTCTGACTGGGGTTTTAGATGTTGTGGAGCCGACTCTAAACTTCCTTTACAGTGCACAAACTGACCACGCACATGAATTAAAACAGCTGTGTTGTGAATTCTACGTTATTTTCTTCTAAAATAGTTGCTCAGAGAGAAAGTTAGAAGCAGTAGAAAGTTCTGGTCGTGTAACTCATTTTGGTTTAAGCTGCTATGCTCTGAGCTGTCAGTAACAGGTGCAGAGAGAGTTTTCTTCCTTAAGGTTGACGTGGACGACAGCAGCTCGTTGGTTATCAAAGCGAAACAGGGTTTAAACAGTTAACAATGTTTGCAGTATTTTGAGCTGTAACATTGACAAAATGTTTCATGAATTTTCTGCAAAATGGCCACAATATGGGACCTTTAATGTTTCTGTGCAATCTTTAGAATATTTATTTTAGCAAGCCATTCCTAAGTTGTGTGTCTTTTATTTTGGTGGTAGAATTAGCTGTACTACCAATGTGACAACATCTGGTCTTTTCAGGCTAATGTTTGCTAACTTGACATAAATCAGCAGGTGCCAGGCGGCGGAGAGGAAAACTAACAAGAGGTCTCACTCTGCACCTGTTATCTCAATATACTACAGTTTCTTTTCTTCAGTTACACCCCCAAAGTATTCACATCCTTTCCAAATTGTAATTTATGTTACATGATTTCTTCAGTTCACTTCACAGATTCTTGCAGGAACTTCATAGACCTGAACCTTCATGAGGAAGCAACAGTGTAGAATTACGTCTGACGATTTAAAATAGGTACACAGATGAGTTTTTAAGGTTTTCATCAGTGGCCAGAGAGCATTTGACCATTTCTTGACCACTTTTGCTGTATGTTTCAGATCATTGTCCTGTTGGAAGATCTGATGCTGCTCAAGGCCAAACTGTCTGAGGTTTTCCTCCACCGTTTTTTTAGTTTTTATTTTTTTAAAGATATCTGTGAATATCCTCATTCATCCAGGTCATGATTATTCTGGTAGATTAATCGTAGCAACTGGATTTGCTTGAGTTCCTTGAAGACCTTTCCCCTCTCATCCAAGAGGCTTTATCAGTTCTGACTGACTGGTTGGGAGTTCCAGATACTTATATCCTTGAAGAGCCAGATATTAAGATATTTTTGGCTTTATTTGATAGGACACAGAGAGAGAGAGACAGGAAAGTGAGGGGAGAAGAATGGAGGAAGGACCTGCAGCAAAGGGTCATGAGCGGGACTCGATCCCATGATGGCTGCATTGGGGACTGTAGCCCCTATACATGGGACGCCAGCTCAACCAGGTGAGATATTGCGGCACTTCCTCCACAATTTTATTGCCGTCCCCTTCCATCATGATGCTGTTAACTTCGACAAGTGGTCCATCAGCTGAAAAACACCCCCAAAGCTTTCCCACCACCATCATTGATCATGGGGTGGTCATTTTGTTCACCAAACGGAAGCCTTGCCTCTGCGTCCAGACAAATCTGTTTTCATCTCATCCAGTGACAGAACTGATGATCAAAAGCTTTCTTCTTTGTCCAGGTGAGCCTTTGCAAAGTATAGGCAAGCTTTTGTGTACCTGTTTTGGAGAAGTGGAGTCCTCCTTGGTGGGTGAAAGAAAGTAGAAGGAGTTAATCCAGATAAAACTATCCCTAAGGTCAAGCATGATGGGAATGTGATACTTTGGGGGTGTTTTTCAGCCAGTAGACCAGGTAACCTTGTCAAAGTAAACAGCATTGTTAAAAAGAAAGAGTACAACATTCAGATTCTTGAGGAAAACATTAGACAGTCAGCAGAAAAACTTGACCTTGGGTAGCACTGGGTCTTCCAATATCAACACTTTGGAGTCCAGACCTCAATCCCATTCAGAATCTGTTGAGGAATAAAAGACTTACTGTTTTGTTTTAGTTTATTTTTTTAAAACGTGTATGACATTTCCAACCAAATGAAAGCTACTGCTCATATGAAATTCACCATCAATCAAAATTTGCCATTGGGATGAATGATTTTAGGGTTAAGTGCAGTTGCTCACTAGACATTTACTTCTAGCAGCACCACCAGTACATCGTTAACAGTGGGTCCCAAATATTTTGGTTTGTGACATCTTAAATATTCGGTTGTGACTCCTGATCACAGGTTTTAACCTCAGAATAGAGCTGGATATTAAATCTTATCCTTAACTCAGGCAAACTTTTTGTACATTTAACATGTGTTTGTCTCATTTTAAGTCAGTCAGATGAATGCTTTTAAAAACACATGAGACTATCAAAAAAGTACTGTTTACCTGTGGAATTCAGGTATCACATGGCATCATATGAGGAGAGTTGATAGTTGAGTTTTCAGTGTTTTACACTTAAAATAATAGAAAAAGGCCACTTAAGTTTCAGGCAGGATTCTAGTGATTGTTCTTACAGGTTTCATCTGTGTTAATATTAAAACTTTTTGCTTTTATTTTAAATTATGTTTCCTTGTGAGTGGCTTTATGAACAAGACCAGAGACCTCCAGTGACTCTGCCTCTCTTCCTTCACCTCCATCACATCATCACACCGACTTAACAACAATGCATCCTAACCCTAAAAGATTATTATCATCTTTTGCATACCTCAAGCTGTTTACACGTGCTATGTCATTTTGCGAGCTCTCGGGAGGATAATTTGCACATTCTCACGCATTTTAAATATTTCTGTTGCTTTTTATAACTTTCAGTTCTTTAGATTTGCGACACTTGCTGTGTATTAATTTGCGACTCTCGCTTTTAAAAGAAAAAAAATTGAGCATTTACTGTTATGCAACAAAACACCAATTCCTCGTATGTGACTCCTGCTGTTGGATTTGTCTGATTCTTTTCGCCTAATTGCGGCCCTGAAATGTTTTAATCCAGGTTAAAAACATGTAAAGCACAATGCAAATATTGAAACGGTTTTATATAAATTAAANACCCAAAGAGAACCCACACTGCATGGGGAGAACATGGAGA